ATTTTGGCAGGCGCAAAGTTTGTTTACTCTGTTTTATTAAAGAAATATATAAAATAAAAGTGAATAAATGATTTTGTTTGCATAAACCAATAACCGGAGACGTTTTAATAGTGTTTTAAAAGTGGAAACTGGTAATTTAGTGCATTTTGACGTGGTAATTGCTCATATAAAACAACGAAATTTAACAAAATTTTTTTGTTTATAACTTTTAAATGGTTAATAATATTAGCCCTCCCCCTCTGGATTGTTAATAGTGGGCCGAAACGCGTCGTTTGGTACCCCTCGCGACTTTTCCGGACCTCTTTTAGGGGTTGTTACCCTATACTAGAGAATTACCTTAAATTCAAATTTAAAATAGTTTGGCTCTTAGAAAAATTGAACATGACCAACTTTTGATTCAAAAAATCGCTTTTAAAATTGCACTATGTAAACAGCGTATAATCCAAACTGAATCCAAACGATCTCAGCCAAGGCGAATTCATATTGTTCAATTATGTGAATTCGCCTTGATCTCAGCTGGTATCTTTCATGTATGTATGTATGTATGTATTTAACAGGTATAATCCTGAGCGCTAAAGCAGTGTTTGCATTATTCACTTAAAGTGTGTTTGCATTGTTCAACTTTGCGTTCAACATTTGCGTTCAACTCAACGCAGGGTTGCACGAAAAAAAAGTTGAATGGCTAAATGTTGGCTGGCGACCAACTTTGTTGAAAGCGATTAGTTGAAATGCCATTCAACCAAAAGTTGAATGCAAAGTTGAACAATGCAAACACCTTTTTATGGCGAATATTTTTATATTTTTTCATATTTTGATATTTTTAGCCATTCAACTTTTTTTTCGTGCAACCCTGCGCCGAGTTGAACGCAAATGTTGAACGCAAAGTTGAACAATGCAAACACACTTTAAGTGAAAGCAATTTTTTTCGCATTCTCTTTTGTGTTTTCTATTTGCTTCCACACGCGTCAACTTTAATTGAATTAAAGTCCTTGGTTCTTTAAATAGGAAGCAACGAAAAGATCAAAAGAGACAAGAAAACTTGAAACGAATTGACGGTACGGAGGTATCTGTACTCTTCCCCTCTGTTCTCACCTCCTTCGCCATCGAACGAGCAGACTTGAAACCAAGACTTGACGTGTCTGAAAGGGGACTAACTTTAAATTGTTGATGACAAGGCGAATTTATACAAGGTGGTGTTCAAGGCGAATTTATATAAGGTTACTAGCTCAGCTGATTTTGTGTATGTGTTTCGCCGCACGGCTTCTGATATCAAATAGAAAAATTTTGTTTGAATTTCTTCACACACTCTTACGAATTTCGACAGTTTATGCCGCCAAAGCAAAAACCAAATACATTTAAATTTTTGTTTTTGTACTCCTGCTATCACCTTATATTAATTCGCCTTGGTGGTGTTGATGGCGAATTTAGATTTTCGCCGAGTACGTCTTAATGTCAAAATGATGTGTTTGTTGTAAAATTAATTCGCCTTCTTTACAACAAACACATCATTTTGACATTTAGTAGTATCGCGGCGAAAATTTAATTCGCCATCAACACCACCTTGTATAAATTCGCCTTGGTTGATGAAGAAGGGAGATTTGATAGAAGCTAGAGCTGTCAAACTATCGATAGTCAAGTCCATCGATGTTTTACGATAGTCTTAAGGGTGACTATCGATACTATCGATAGTATCGACCCATTTCATATGTTTTTCTAAATCCATTTATTTTTCGTTATCTTGTTTTTATAAATTTGTTTATTTTAGCGGCTCACGGTTGCATTTTAGTATTGAGAAATATTGCTAGAAATTCATTCGCCGTGTAAACAGTCAAGGAGCGAAAGACACTTTACATACATACAAGCAAGGTGCCACTGCTCATGCAACTGCTTTCTGAAATTTCTCAATCTGACAGTCTTTTGAAATATACTGCATCGCCCGGTCTGACACGCTCTTAAAACGGCAATGTAACCTCTGCTATTCCCCCGCTTAAAATAAAAAATTGCGCTTTTAGAAATAATACGTTCATTCCTTATCTTTTTTGACTAAAATCTGAAAAGTGTCAAAATGTCAGAGCGTAAGCAAAATGCAATCACTAAAAGAGAATAACAGGAAAAAGTTAATGAACGCAAAATCCAAATTTTTAGTCCAAAGAATGGCAACAACAAAACTAACGTCAAACAAGAATAGAAATGTATGTACAAAACACATTCACTCAAGCACAAGCACAATATTGGCACTTGCTATATCAATTATTTTTTTGCTTCCTTCCAATTTCAATTAATTTTTTTACTTTTTACATTATTCTCACTTTTCGCGTATTATTTAATTTCCGTTAATTTAAATTCAGTTGAGTTTGACACTTTTCAAGATTTTGCCAGCAAAAATTCTTCTGACTAAATCTGACTACTTCGGACTGAAGAGAGTCATTCTCACTGAGTGTTGCTCTCTCATTTTTGCTGTTATTTTAGAGTTAAGGAACGCTTTTTGGACTAAATCTGACTACTTCGGACTTTTTCTGGCTATTTCTGGGAGATAAGGAACGCAACTAATGCCATGAACCAACTAAACTGATCACCCAGCGCGGCAACCGCGTATTTAAAATTGCATTTGAGAAAAAAATAATAGTTGATAACGTCATTTTTAATCGGTTGTTTCTCTCACACACATGGTTTCATTCCGTGGCGAAAAAATGACGTCACTGTGAAAAACATACTTTTCTCTCGCACAACGTCCTGGGTGATCTTTATTTTATTCGTTCGTTCATGAAATAATGCTGCAATCAAGGCGCATTTAACAAGGTGGTGTTGGCCGTATATAAGTAAAAAATTACACTAACAAATTATACGCTGATGTCCATACTGTCATTGGTATGAGTTACAACAAACACATCATTTTGACGTAATGGCCTCCACGGCGAAAAACTCAGCTGTCGCCCCAACACCACCTTGTTTAATACACCTTGGCTGCAATGTTTTGTTGAACCAATACGTGCAAATGTCAAAAGCGCTAGGAAAGAGAATACGCTATCAATGAAACGATAGTGGCGATAGTACTAAAACTATCGATAGTTATTTCAAGTGACCAGACTATCGATACTATCGATAGTATCGTCGATAGTTTGACAGCTCTAATAGAAGCCTTTTATTGATCGCCGAAGCCTTTTATTGATCGCCGAAATCAAGGCGAATTTTTCGCCTTGGCCGAAATGTATTGTAAATTGTTTTGAAATAAAGTGAAGTGCAATTTTATAAAGTCCCATAGCATAAGTTCGAGGGTTATTTGGATATCTTAGAATTAAGGCGGTAAGCACTCAATGCATATTGGGGCTGTTCAGGGTGTTTGCAAATTTTTTTCTTGCTGGCATGGCAACCGTCCGCATATTATTGTGAATTTACAAATGCAACGAATATGCAAATCCAAGAGCATATGCACAAGATCCTAAACAGCCCTATTGTTCGATACCTACCGCTCCATCTTGAGAAGCGAGCGGGTACAGTTTGCATATTTCTAAAACGACCCCAAAACGAAAGAGGATGGACGCCGCTTTATGAAAAGTCACCCCACACCCCCTGCCCCGACCAAATACC